CCCCAAAACCCCAAAACCCCAAAACCCCAAAACCCCAAAACCCCAAAACCCCAATTTAGGTTCCTTATATTGAATTTTATTGAGTTATTATGACAGAATGCTGTTATCTAGCTTGAAAAGGAGTACTCCATAGTCTGAAGTAAAAGCAACTTGATCATAATAAGCAGTGATCAAGTAAGGATATCCCATGCTGAAGAAATCTTTCTTCAGCAAATCCTCTGGAAAATCTTTTGACTTTTTAATATCAAATATGTGTTTTGTATTCACACCTTGCTCATGAACAAAGAGGTTGATGTTTCCTTTGGAGTCGACTGTTGCAATCCTATAGTCATCATTGTCGGTGGCATATCCTTCTTTGTTCTCCTCATCTTCAATAACCTTACTTGGGACAACACCTTCTCTTTCCAAAACTTCTTTGTCATAAGATGTTACAGCAGTATCATAAACATGTAAGGCCAGAATTTGATTTTGTGCTTTTCCAAGTGAGGTTAGGTCTTTAGTCTCTAGATTGATCACAACTACTTCTTTAGAGTTTCGAACATAGATCATGAAGTTCTTAAATAATTTGACATGATATACAAGTCCATCTGAGTTCTTTAAGTCCATTACTTCGCTCCTAAAGGAAAATTTAGAACAGTTTATGAGAGAATAGATCTTAATTCGTACCTTTCATCCTGTAGAATATCGTAGATGTAGATTTTACGATTTTTTGTGCTGATATAGTCCATCCAGATGATTTTTCTCCCGTCGAAATCAAAGGGAACTGAGTTATGGTTAAACTCAAATTTGCCCTTTTGGTCTACGATTTGGGTATCAAAATCAGCAATAGTTACTGGTTTGGCTTCACCCTCTTGATTATTGATTTTTTCATCGTCAAGCTTTATGGAAAGAATTCAGTTTAAATTTTCATGAAGCATTGTGTATGATCTTTCTCAAGCAAGCTTATGCTCTTCGCTCTCAGGCTGCTCGATTAACTGAATCGTACATTCTGGACTAAGACTACGAGAATCATAGATGATACCCTCTAGAAGGTTAGCCAGTGAGATCCTTACCGATATCTCCAACACTGATGTAGAGCTTCTCACCGTCTTTTGAATGAGAGATACCTCTGATGAGCTCTTGAAGGTATTCTAAAGGAACACTCTCTGTTTTGTCTTTAATGCTGTAGAATACAAGTCTTCCCATTGCAGTTCCATAGAAGAGATGAGATACCGATAGTTTGAGTGCAGTGACTGGGTCAGCAAACCTTATTTCACGGAAGCTTAGAAACTCCATTTTAATATTTCAATATTTCAAAAATAGAAAGGGGTTTTGGGGTTTTGGGGTTTTGGGGTTTTGGGGTTTTGGGG